ACTTGCGCCTTTTCTCACAGGAATATTTCACTTTATTGCTGTTGCCGGTATGAACAATAGACATGTGCAACAAACACAGCACTTCAAGATCTCAACTTTTGAGGAATAATTTTGGGGTTTAGCTGTCACACTTTTAGTATCCACTTCACCAACTTCACCCTCCTCCCCCTAAAAAAAGGAAAATAAACATTTTGCTTTTAAATAATGGAAAACTATTGGCTGTAGAAAAAACCTAGATGACATCATCGTGGCCCTTTTCCCTATCTGTTCTAGTTGATAAAGAAGTTCTATGCACATACACATCTTGTCGTGTGTGCAGTTTTACCTACAGATATCTAACACAGGATTTACATTTAATAAACCACTTCAGAAGTAGTTGTTTTTTGACTGTACTGACTGGATTCTGAGCTGTTTGCTTTCATTCTTCACACCATCACACTGTCATTGTCTTGTTGAATCCAGACAGTAAAATGTGTTAAAAAGTGTTGGAGTGTGTGTGTGCGTGTGTGTCACAGAGAGAGATTCTATTCTTAGACTGTTGGGGAAGTCTTGGCTCCCTGGTGTATGGGAAAGTGCTCTTGTAAGTCTTGAACCAAGGCATTCCATTATGCTGTCTTCTTAAAACAGACCAAAAAAGGACTTAATTTTGGTTTGGCTAAAAGAGTCGCAGTCTTGAGAAGCTCACTTCATTCTGTCTACGCCTTCATTAAAAGAAAAACAAAAAAATTTGAAAAAATAAGTTAATTCTGCCAAATCTAATGCTTATAGCATTAGATTTTTAACCCTCTGCTTCTGTGGGTTTGGAAATGACATTGTGATGTTAAGTCATTCCAGGATACAGTCCTCAGTCACTGGTGACTCAGTGTCCAACTTCTAAAAGCTAAACGTCTACTGATGCCGTCTCTGTAGAATCGGTACAAAGAAATGTCCCTGTTTTTACAATTCTCTGTACAGTCGTCAGTGTTTCTGCTCTCTTTACTCTGTGAATCTACATATAAATACACCGGGTCAGTGGTCTTAGAGAGTTAGTCAGGGTTCAAAGGTCTTTGTCCCCTCATGTAACACGGACACTCAACAAGACATCCACAGCTATTGCTGTATTATTATAGCTATTATTATTATTGTTGTTGTTATTGTTACTTTCTTTAACACTGTAATCCAACAACATACATTATATTCTGGTTGTGCAAAGTAATATATATTACTAATCATTTTCCCACTATGGTATAAGTAAAAAAAAATATATATAATGAGTGAATTAATTTCCCTTGCTGAGCCCCTACAGTTATAGCTCAGGCTGGGCCATGGCCCCCGCTTTGGAGTAAAGGAAAGTTTAGGGTACGTGATATATCTTATACCAACAGGGCATACGAAGAAAAACAAAGAGAGAAAGTGAGCAATGATAGTTTAACTATATGCCGACGATCTCTCACCTCTGCATTATTAAATGGAACCCTAAAGGGTTTACTACTGTGAAAACAGAGACATTTAGAAATTAGTTTTTGCTTCACTATGTTCGTTATTTGTGACTCATATCTCTGACATCCTGGTTTACGCTGCATTATTAGGTCTGTGACGGCGGGTGGGCCCGACAGAGCAGAACACAAACTGTAAAAAATGAAGCACACTCCGAGCAGAATTAAATATTAAATTCACAGGCATTGTTATTTTGTTGAATATAATGTGTTTTCTTACAATTACAAATGGCCATTAAAAGACTTCCCACAATCCATTTGTCATATAATGCCTTTAATATGGTTGGTGTTTCCAATCCCTGAGAGCCTAGTTTTTGTGTTTCTTAGACCATGGATGAATCACCCCTCATCTGGGTTAATGTTTTAGTTGTGCATGAAGCCCAGACATTAACAAGAATTTTTATTTTTTATGTCCAGCTGGTGACAGATTTGCAGGATGACAAAAATGTCCAAAGCAGCAGCCAAACAGCCCTGTGTAAAAAGAGCCATTTCCATTAGAACTGTTTTTCCCTTCTGGACCACAGCGGTGGCAACAATCAACGTAGCCGTTCAGGGTTGTTACATACATGTGTAGCGTGTAGCGTAGCATCAAAGAACACGCAACTGGGGGTTTTGTATTTTAGCAAACTTTATTGTTGTCTTCATCATGCAGCGTTTGGTCCCAGGAGGGACCACTCTGCTGGGCGGCATTCAGACACCTGCAGTGTGTGCTGTGGCTGTATAATGGCTGTGTGTGTGTGTGTGAGAGAGAGAGAGAGCGAGCGAGTGTGTGTGTGTGGCAGTGGAATCTGTTTGTTCTTGATGATTGCCCCTGTACGGCTTTGCTGCACTGTGTATCGTGTTTGCTGTTGAGTCTCGGGGGTGTGAAATGTGCATCAGCCTCTCTGTGTGTGTGTGTGTGTGTGTGTGTCTCTGTGTGTGTGTGTGTAAAGCAGAGGGCTGTGATGAATGTGTTTTGAGCTGCTGTCTGCCTGACATTTTTTTGTCTGTGTGCCTCTCTGAAAAGGTGGAACACATTATTCACAGACAAGGACACATGCTGAGCAGTCGCCCACTTCTGCATGGCCCATTCATGCCAATTAGTGCCAGTCGGCCTCTCCGTGCCCATTACAGTGGGGCAGTTCACCTTCACCACACACACACACACACACACGGCAGTATAATTCATTTGTCCTGGAGGTGGTGGACACATACTGTCTGGTTAACAACACTTGTTTGTGGGAGTTTTTTCTCCCACTATTCATGTGAAAGAAAAGATGGTGCTCCTGCTGACGAGCACATCCACAGCAGTATATTTGTGTGCAGGTTTTATTTTAGCCTCATGGTCCCTGTGGTCCGCCACAGTCACACATCCTACACATGCCAGCCTTTTCCCCCAACCAGAGTTTTAACCACTAGGGATCACAATTTGGATAGAACTTCCACAGAGCCCTACCCTGTTCTGTTGTACATGTTCACATGAAGAGGTACTGTAGTAGTAGTAGTAGTAGTAGTAGCAGAAGTAGTCGTAGTTGCTGTTGTAGTAGTAGTAGTACTGTGACATGATTCTTGTTAAAGTGAAGTTATTGTGTGAGGTGTAAGGGCTTAATTAGCCCCCTTGTTTCTGCGGCTGTACACTCCAGAGGACTAGAACATTTCAAGAATTGCTACTAAAGTTGCATTTCAGGTTTTTTTATATATATAAATTTGCATATATGAATTAATTATGGAAATTCCTGCTCCTTTAAGAGAGCCAGTTCTTATGGCTCATCTCACTGAAAAGTGTCATCTCTTCTGGCTCCTAAGTTGTTTTCTGCTTTGTTTTGCTAAAATTAATTTGTAACAAAAAATATTCTTAAAAAAAATAACTATAGTAGAAGGTACATGTGTATCAAGCTGTTTAGAGTGATATAAAAGTGATGATGATAATATATAATAGTATGAAACAAGATTTGAACCTTTAACATACAGTAAACTACACTTTGTCTTTGTTCTATGGTTGGAATAGAAATCTGTATTTTACGTTTAAATGTTAAAATGTTCTTTTAAAATTAAGGCTGGAAGTCAAAAAATCACTTTGTTTAAAAGACTAGTTCAATTAGTGCCATAAATTAACCATGACTATGAATTTTTTTCTATTCATAATAATTTAAGACGAGCACAAAAGTCAAACTGGACCAGAAGCCCTGTTCTAGAAATGCTTTTATTTAATTAGTCTTTCCAAATCTAATTAGGAGTGATTCTGGTGGGAGGAAATCCCTCCTCATTTGTAGCTGGGTACTGTTTATCGCAATCACCTTCATGCTTTGTTCATTTAAACATGCTCTTGAGCTTATTAAAGGAGATGTTAGTGCACAGTGCACGTGAATGTCTGCTATTAAAGAAGCCCTTAATGCAAGTGTTAAGGCAGCCGTGCTGCCGTTATGTCCTTGGATCAGAGAAAACCACTCTGAGCTGATGAGATTTTAAAAGAAACTTGATTGCTCTTACCACGCAAAGTGGACCTTTGAGGTAATAACAGTAGTAATGACAATACATCACATGGTGTTCATGCCACAATGACCTCATCCAGGTCTGTCTTTAACAGTATTTCTTATTATTGGGCCGAGTGGTATGTTTTTATTATATTCCATTTACAATATTTAGGAAACATATTCTTATTTAAGGCTGTGGTAAAGATTAAAGTCATATGTATATATATATATATCTGACATTATATATAATATATATATTGGTTCTTTAAACAAACACACACACAGAGCTAAGCTACTCATTCACATCAAACAGGTTTAATCAGGTATTTAAAGTCAATATTCCACAGCAGGGGTCACTGATATTTGTCAAAGGCCAGAATTTTTCTGGACAGACACCGGGCACTCGAATAAAATTAAATAAAAATCACATTTTTGTCTGACATTAATATTTGATGTTCACTCTGGACTTTAGTCGTGCGCCGGACCCTGTGGCCCAGGACCCAGATTCAGCCAGTGTCCAGCTGATGACCACTGCTTTAAAGGTGTATTCCAAAAGGCTTTTCACAAACTCATTTCTAAGTGGCTTGTTTGCTACTAAATCTACTTTAACATACTAAATGTTGTAATAGGCAAATATTAGTTAAAGTAACCCTTTAGCCTCAAGTATGTTAAACCATGATTGTACTACATATTGCTGTTATAAACAGGCTTTAAATTACTAGCACAAAGTAAAGAAAGGAAACCTCCTTCAGGGGGAAGGCTCAAATTACAAAGCTGTGTTGAAAAAAAAGGTGTAAAATGTGGTATTATGAATTCATCGTTTAGTATTTATTTCAGTATTTCTAGTTTTAAATGCCAACTCGGCTCCATCCCATAATTCTCACTCGCTCTGCTTTATGAGATCACACACATTATTTAAGTCGGATTATTTTGTGTTGAACAAGTGTTTGTGTTGGACTGGAGGTTGTGTGTGTGTGTGTGTGTGTGTTTGGCCGTTTGAATGCCGTGAGTGCTGCTTATACGCTGGTGTTTATTTGTGTGTGTGTTTGTGTGTGTGTGTGCACGTGTGTGTCTTATAGAGCAATAGAGAAGCTTAGCAGTTATTTGCTCATCCATTCCCGTCCCTGCGTAATCCTCCACATGCACAGATGCATACCTCTGTGGGATATAAACGTCTGCATGTGTGTGTGTGTGTGTGTGTTTAGGTCCTTTGTGAATGGGACGTGGCTGAGGCTCGGGGTAACTTCTCACACTCCTGGCAAGTTGACGCAGCTTGGCACAGTGTTTGTGCATGTGAGGGAGTTGAAGTATTTGTAGTGTGTCTGAATGGCCTGTGGTTGGCAGGGCGTTGTTAACACGATTATGCAACGGTAACAAAAGGGTTATGAATGATAGATTGTAAAGGGAACGCGGCCACGGTACGATCAGGGTGTCGTAATAAGGGCGTCGGTCTTGAAGTCTTTTCCTGTGTGTGTGTGTGTGTGTGTGTGTGTGGGGCCATTAGATGGCTCCTCTCCTTGCTATCTCTCAGGCTAGTTCATGCTCACACACTCACACACAATCAAACACACGCCCTGGGAAATATGGCAGGGAGTAGACGTAGATAAACAAGAGAGCTGAGACTCTCACTGACACAGACAGGTTTGTGTGGGAAAGCAGCGACTGCCAGTGTCATAACGGCAGGAGTGAAGTTTGCACAGGCAGCTGAGGGAGCGAGAAAGTCACCGTGAGTGTACGTGTGTGTCTGTGCTGTAGACTGTATACACAGAAGAACATCTTCATGTGGTTCCCTGTTGACTGGCTCTGAGTCTATTACCTGTTTAAAAATTAAGAAATGCTGTTTTCCTACACATGCCCAAAGTATAATTTAGGAGTGCAGCAAGTAGAGAGGTATGAACTGTCTCACCTCCTTATATAAATAACTACTGCAACACGACAGGCACAGAAAAAACAGATAATAACACTGGGGTTTTTTGGTGCTGCTTTTCCTTTGTAAATAATAATAAAAAAGGTCAAATAAAGTTTTGTCGTAATACGCAATACTGGTAAAAAGGTAACTGGAAGTCTGAAGTTTGGAGAAAAAGATTTTGAAATGATCTATGTCAAATTGTGTGCAGGGGGCGCTCTTCAATGCTTTCTCCATGACTGCATTGGGACAGTCTCTACTGATAGTTTAGATAACAGGGATAACAGGACAATGGATGATAAAAAGCTTGGATGAGAAATGCAGGTGAAATGATGTCAGTGGTATGGGGTCAAAGAGGGTTTTTTTTTACCTCTCTCTCCTTGCCTCTCACTTGCTCTCTGCCTCGCTCTGTCTTATAAACACACACCCCCACAATGAATTATGATTAAATGCAGTGCATCTTCTGCTGGTTGCCAGGGAAACAGACAGATGCTTCACTGGACTTTGAAACTACAGTCTAGTCTGGTTTCTACTTAGAAAAAATATCTTTTTGTTCATAAGTTTCAGTCTTAAAATCAGAGAAAAGAGTTTGAAGAGTTTGTTTATAACTAAAACATCTACCATTAAAGATTGAGTTTGAAACATTTCCCAACAAGTGCATGATTTTGTTTCAAAACAGGAAAGGAATTTTGCAATTTGTGGCATTTTTATTGTTGTACAAAAAAAAGGGAACTGCTCCATAACATGAATAACAACTCATCATCTGATAAAAGCAGGCTTCTCCTCGTCCTCAGGCCACTTCAGAGTTAAGTTGTTTAAAAAAAAATCTCCAACGCAGCAGAAGTTGGATCATGAATATCTGAAGTTTACACAGGAATGGTATCAGGCTGACAGGAAGGCAGAGTTACACAAACAGGATGTGTTTTAGTGCATATTTAGATCCAGTCAGTCTGCTGGGAATCATTTAAATTTCCCCAGCGCGTGCGTGTGTGTGTGTGTTTGTTTGCGTGTGCGCTACAACTCATAGGAAGCATATTTCATCTAACTTTACCCCTCAACGATATTTTAACTAGGTCAGCGAACTAATGTGGATACACTGCTGCGCACTGTCAGTGTGGCATCTAGTGGTGGACTAGAGGAAGCGCAGCTTTTATTAAATCTCGGCATATTGTAGTACCCAATTGAATTTAATAAAGAGGAGAAACCTTGGATCGAAAAAACGACTGTTATTGATTATGACGTGGAACATGTTTGTGTGTGTGTGTGTGTGTAAACCATTTATTATAATTATTTGCCTGTAAGAAAAAAAACATCTATAAGAGATTCTACTCACTGCATCTCTGAATGTATCAGCTCTATACTTAAAGTTCAGATAAAAAAAAATGTGTCTTTTACAAAAGGCTCCTTTAGGGGACGCTGTTGTATGACTCACTCCTGTCATCTGGACCAACTTGTTGACCAGTTTCCCAGTTGTCACTTTGAATTTTGTACACACTTTTTATCTTATCTTCCTTCATAGCTCTTAGAAATGACAACATCCGTTTTATTTTTTGACCTTGTTTTTGGAACACAGCGTTGCTATGGTCACAGATGTCAGTGTCCAGTGTTCAGTGTTCACTAAAAGGTCAGATCCCCCATAATCTAGACTCTGTTTTTTTTTTTTATTCCAGTTTTCATGTAACATGAAAACATCCTGACTGAAGCTACGGGGGCTGCAAAGAATTCACAACCAATTCATGTTATTGTTGTGATAGTCCATCAGGAACTTCTGTTATGTAACGTAATTATCAACATGAAGTTATTCCCACAAGTCACTCTTTCATGCTGTGTTACCTCACTCTAATATGTACCGCTCACTCCTCTTCTCTCTCCCACCCACAGCTCCACTCTCTGCCCTCCTTGTTCTGACACTCCCTCTCTCTCTCTCTCTCTCTCTCACACACACACACACACACTGCCTCTCTCTCTCTCTCTTTCTCTTTCTCCCTGCCACTCTCTTTCTAAGCTTGTAAGCGGTCTCTGGGCACACAGCCAGCTGGCGTGCGTGTGTTTTTTGAATGAATACCTGATGAAGTTGGCCAGGAAAGCAACTATGGGAGGGGCTCTGTGTGTGTGTGTGTGTGCGTACGTGCGTGCGTGTATGTGTGTTAGGAGACAGTGTGTGAGCTCTGGCTCGCATTCAGCCTCTTGCATAATACACTTTGGAGCTCTGCATGCGGGACTCCCTCCCTGTGGGCGTGAGCGAGTGTGTACTCCAAGTTCTGTGAGTGAGTGAGAGAGTGAGGAAGAGAGAGGGAGGAAGAGAGAGGGAGAGGGAGATCACCTGAGTCCTGTGTGTCACTGGTGGTGAGGGAGCTTCCTGCCCCACTGTCAAGATTTAGGAGCCGGCTGTGTGGCTCAGTGTGCGTCTGTGTGTGTGCGCGTGGTTGTAGTTGTGTGTGTGTGTGTTTGCAGCACATGTACACCGACTCTGCTTGGGATTTTCCGCTTAAGGCAGAGGGAGTGAGAGAGACAGAATGAGATTCAGGGCAGTTTACTAGAGACACGACAGAGCAGGAAAGAAAGAAATGAGAGAGGAGGAAGAGAGAGGAAGAGCGAGAGAGCATGCAGCAGAATGGAGCACCTCCTGCTTTCCTTGTGAGTACACTTCACACAGTTTACTCCGAGTGTGTGAAAGAGTCTGCTGAATAGCCGTTTGTTGTATCGGAGTATGTCATGTGTATTTGTGTACTGTATCTGCCCTACTTTAGATACAGTCGTCACTGAAGCCTTCAGCCGTTTGATTGGAGCTCTTTCTCCTCTTCTCTCCTCTTCTTTCTCTCCTCTTCATTTATTTATTTTTTCTTATTTTCTCTTCTCTCATCTTCTCACCCTCTTCTTCTTTCTTCTTTTTTTCTTCTCCTCTTCTCTTCTCTCCTCACATTTGCATTCCTCCTTTCCTAGCCCCAGCTCCCTCTCTTTTTGGCTATTTTCTCTGCCAGACACTAACCCTTCTGTCACCCGTCCAAGCTCAGGGTTGTGGAGGGGTGAGAAAATGCAAGTCATGCATTACAGCCCGAGTATTTGGTTTCTGAAAAAAACTGTCTCTCTTTTTACACGCAGTCATTACTTTCCTCTATCTCTGCCCCCTCCCCCCCCACACACACACCCCCGTGTAACTCCTCACCATTCTCTCTTCTCCCATTTTGCCTCTCTTTCTCCCATCCTTGGCTAACTCCCTGTCTCCATCTGTCAGTGGCAGATACATTACACTCCACCACTCTACTGTAGTGCTGTGCGTGTGTGTTGTGCTGTGTTGTGTGTAATCGCTCGCTGAGAGTGAATAAAATAGCAGCCTTGTCAGAGTTCCCAGTCTGGCAAGGATCCCGGTGCCATGCACGCACACACAGTGGCACACACACACACACACACACACACACACACATACTGTGTGAAGAACACAGAATAACAAGGGCCGTGATAACACAACAGAAGGAACATAAAGGATGAAACAGAGAAGTAAGAGCCTGCAGCAACTGTTTTCCTCTTGCACTATATTTAGCCGTGAGATAACACATCACGATGGACTTATCCCTCTGATCGTGATTACGATTATGACTGAGCAATCACAGGGTGGCGTGTACACACGTCTATGTTTCTTCAGCACTTAAACCAGTGCACATGCAGACAGAGTAATGATCACGGTCCACTGTTATCTTGTATTCAAACATGTATTTCAACGGAGCTGTTAATCTGATCCTTAAAGAGACACCAAACTCTGAATTTATGTTTTATTTATGTTGCTTTCCAGTTACTGCAAAATTTTCCTCAATTATAAATTAGTTCCATTGTTAATGCCGACGCTGGGTAGATGACGGGCTGCTGTGTAAAAACACTTAAGCACTGAAGCAGTACTGCTTGGATACAAATAAAGGATTTATACACGGTGGATAAATAATGTATGTCGCATATGTTGAAGTGCATTAGATGTAGAAAATGGTTTTGTAGTTGGACCATTTACCATCACTTCAGTGTCTTCAGTGCTGAACATCGATTGGTGAAAAGTCCATTTGGAAATGTGTACATGTTGTACATAAGGATCCATTCAGGACTAGAACCACTGACATTGGTTTTTATGGAAACATTCTATTCTAATCTATTTGATTTAAATCTAATTCACTGTATTCTAATCCATTGTACTCTATTCTAATACCGTCTAATCTAATCTATGATTTTCTACTATTCTATTCTATTCTTGAAAACCCACATTCAAGATGTACAGAAAGGGAAAACTCCAGTCAATGTAGTTTGGGGTCTTTTTCCTGATTGGTCCTTTAGCCAACCACACGCACCCACAGTATATACACATAATTATGCATCCCTCATCACCTTACCCTGACCATTATGTATCCCTAATGTTACATTTACATTTACATCTGTGTTAATCCCCACCTTCACCTGGGCCTAGTTCTAATCCCAAACTAAATCTAAATCTTAAACCGCTGTCCTAGTGGGAGCCAGAGAAATGTCCCCACAATTATAGCTATACCTGAATCATACTCACTCACTCACAACCACACCCTCACACACACACATACGCACACACACACACTATGGCAGGGGGCAACAGAGAAAGAAAAAAAGCGAGCAAGGGGCAACAGAGAAAGAAAAAAAGCGAGAGAGACTGAGCTCTAAGCACATGGAGGACAGACAGCTTGGGTTACAGGCCATCTGATACACACACACACACACACACACACATAGAGACTGACAACTCAGCAAGATACTGGTGACATAGCTCCTCAGTGAATGTGTGTTTGAGTGTCAGTTTCAGTGAAGCCATAATCTCTTTTTGTAATGTAGGTCAAACAGCAGCCCTCAGTCTCTCCTTCACTCTCTCTCTCTCTCTCTCTCACCCCGGTCCATTGCGGTCTTTGTCTCGTGTACCCTCGTCACCCCTCATCCCTCCCACCTCTGTGTCTTTTTAGACATTTCCAAATCCAAAATGCTTCTCTGACGATTCTACGCTCCAGAAGAGTTGACGCTCCCAGTTTTATTTACTCTTTTTGTTCTGCCTTGATCTCCTTCCAAGCCCTGTTTGTTTTCTCACACAGCTACAGGAGAAAATGAAGTACTCACTGCCTGTCACTGAAGTATAACTGCATGTACTGTATGTACAGACTCAATCTGTCCTATTATCAATGGTAGCTCATTAACTTATTTACAATTACATATTTACAATTTAATCTACAGCCACCAACACTACTCCTTTTCCTGACACCTTTTTTCAAACTAAGCTTTGTAGCTAAAATCCGTAAACATTCTCACTTGTGTCTTTTTTTTCCATACCTGTCTGTACTGAAATTGCTGAGTG